GATATAAGCTCACCCCGATGTTACACTTATCAAGAGCTTTTATTTGAGTACCCACATGCATTTTGATATATTTTTCATATATACATATATATAATACATATAAAGATATGAAAAATTGATGTGGGTATTTAAATGAAAGGTCTTGATGGGTGTAACATCGGGATGAGCTTATATCTTTAAAAATATCAATAGTTCGCGAGATACAAGGTCATTTCTTAATTATCTATCTAGAGATAGAGCATTTTCGCATGTAGCCTTTATCATATGACTATCCTGCAGGGTAGTGTTAATATTATTAATATTATTATTTGAAATTTTAAAATAATAATAATAATAGGGGCATTCCATGCAAAATGGAAAAATGACTAAAATATTTAAATTTCTCTAATTCATTAAAATTTAGTTTTAATTTATTTATTAAAAGTTTATATTTAACTAATTTGTAAAGAAATTTTTTTTTAATCAATAAGAAAATCGATTTTTCTCTCCTAGTAACTTTTCAGCCGTACTAACTTGTATCCGAGTCAAATGTTGTTTTAATAGTTTTAAGAACAAAATCATTTTATGTTTGTTAACATATTTATTATTATAGTTTTAAGAACAAATTTTTTTATGTTCGTTATTAATTAACACCTAAGTTTATCAAGATCGTGTTGTCAGCATGCTAAATCCTTTATTTGTGTTTTTCAATTAGTTTTTTTTAATTATCCTAAATAATTTATAGTTAAATATATGAACAATAATGTTTCTAAAGTTGAAATAATATAAAAGTCTTTTTAATAATCAACTTCATGTATACATTTTGTACTTGTCCCACCAGTCGCAAATGCCTGTCCCATCAGTGACAATAAGAAAAATTTCTTTAATTGTTTTTAGGTAGATAATCAGTCTAATTCTTCATAATATTGAATGTTTGTAGGATAAATTTTGTACTGGGAGGGAAGTATTATTTTCTAAAAGTTTAGTGGTCGAACTGAAATTCGATTTTAAGTATACCTTGGTAAGAGAGAAGGATTTTTCTTAGTCCCACCAGTCACACTCAGTCAAATGATAATTACGAGAAACTTAAAAAGTAATCGAGGTTTTTGACAAAGGGATGTTGTTAATTAGTTATTATTCTATATAGTATAAGTTTCAGTCACATAATTATAGCTTATAATTTATGGAATTCCAGAGTCAAATGCCACAACAATCACTATAGAATGCCCCAATAACAACTTATACTTGAAATTATTTGTATCTGTATTTTTATTATTATTATTATTATTATTATTATTATTATTACATAAATTTCAAAAATTTATAAAAAAAAAAAAATATTAAACTTTGACATTAAGGTAGTTCTTTCCCAACCTATAGTTTATGCTACTGCTGTCTTCGTCACGCGCTAGTGTTGCCTCTCTTACGGGCTATTGCTCACTTACTTCCACGCATGACTTTATTTGTTTACTTTACTAGTTTATCAATGATTTCTCAAAAACTATGTGGTGGGGAGTTCCAGAATTTTGTAGGGTAATTATACATGTATTAATGCAAGTAATGTTAGTTTTTCGTGAAATTCTTAAAATTTTTTCAATACAAAAATAATAAAACTCGCGGTTTTCTCTCTCTTTTCCCATACCGCCTGTGTAAAAATCCCATTTTCAATTGCAATTATCTTCGGTTAGACGTGGTCAATCATCTCTAAATTTTAACAGCGTGTGTATTATGTATTTAAGTACTTCTATACGGAGTTTGGGAGATTTCTTGAATTTTTGGTTAAAGGGCCGAACTACCTTAAAGACATAAATGATAAACATCACGATAAAGTAAAAGTACCATTTAATGTACCATATAAAATAAAAAATACTTATTAAAAAATATTAAAAAAATACTACTATTAAAGATGGAAACATAAAGATATATAAGCCTAAAGCCATCGAAAGTCCACCAAAGTAATAATTACCAGGTTAGAACTTTAACACTGGAAACATAAATAAGAGAGCATAATCTCAATTAACGGCACCCGGCGGAAGCTTTTCGTTAAATAACTGTATTATGTGATAGCATTGCAAGCCCGAGAACACACGCCGGCTTACGTCGGTACAAATTATCCAACTAACAAGGGGGTTATTTATCGAAAAGGGTTCGCTGCCGAGGAAAAAATAGCGGTGCTTTTTCCTCTGAATATAAAATGAACCGAGTCTTGACAAGGTATATGTCAACTTGTGTAACCTAGTGGAGGATATAGTCCTAGAGAAGGTTTTAAAATGCCGCGTGCGATACGGATAAATAGCTCCAAGGAAAATACAAATTGGCCAATTTACAATTTAGCGGTAATGCTTCCTCTCTGTTTATATCTATATCTACGCAATGGTTGTTGTTTTAGTACTTTTTACGCGGCAAATACTTTAACTGACGTCATTGTTTTTGTTTTTGATGATTCATTTTCTTGCAAGCGTTTTTATTTACTTATTTTTTATCCAAATTTAAGTGAACTTTTTTTTGCTCAATTATTAATTCTTTAGCTTATTATTTTTAAATAAATAAATTTTTAAACTCTTTATTCAATAAATTTTTCTTGCTCTTTTAGCCGAAAGTACGCTCATCCTGGACGCTCTTTACTCCAGGAAGAGCAACTTTTATGGCCGGCTCAGCCGGCTCTCTACGCATGCGCGCTATGCATATTTTCTGGCCGGCAGCACAGAGCCTCGCTTTCTTTCGTACTTTCGTGGTGCGGCCGGCCTATACAGCGTGTTTCAACTGTATATAACAGTCACAATATCGTCTGTATGTAACATGTCAACACATTAGCTAACCAAAAAGTGTCAAATAAATAAAAATAATTTCTTACTAGATTATTGTTAATGAACTATTTAATTAATAATAATACTGCACAAATAATTTATATAAAAATTTTAGAAAATAAAATATAAAAGTTTTGTAGATTTTATTTGCTTTCTTTTATATTTTGACAGCTAGTAAAGCGATTTGTTTATAAAACAATCCATGTACTCTACAAGCTTCTAATAAGTAAATTTCAATTTTTCTTAGCCGTTTAATTAAAAATTAATTTTTAATCAACTTAAAAAAATTAATTCTGTTATTAAATCGAGTTTAAATATTTGTGACAAGTTCTGTGCATGTTATCTCTCTTAATCAGAGCGTTTGTTAGTAAACTTTAAAATAACTTATTTTTTTTTTATTTATTAATTTTTACTTTTTTATTATGCCCGCCCAGACCGGTAAAACCTCGGCTTCGCCTCGGCTTTACAAAAGTCGGGCAGCGCCCCCCTCACCCCCGGCAAAACCCCTTCCCCGGGGTTGCGTACTTTCGGCTGGAAAGCAAGAAAGATAGCCTCGGCTATCATATCACATACGCCAGGAAATCCAACTTTCTGGCCTTGGATCGTAATATACTATTTCAATTAGTTGAATTACAGGCAACTGCGAAAAGTAATTAAATAAATAGACAATTATTTTTCTGAGTAATGAATTCTGGGATGAAAATATTGTTAATTAGAGAAAAAAAAAAAAAAAGACGATGTAAAAGTATTTCAGTAACAAGGTTTTATTCTATCAGGAGAAAGGGGATGATAAAAATGATGTAATTGAATTTAATGTCTATTATGGAGATAATTTTATCGAGTAAAGTGTATGAGGACGTGTTTGTAATACGGATATTATATAGGCAAAAATATACATAGGCAAATATAATGCAGAGAGGGTGTGGGGTATATTTATGTAGGTTATGGTGATGAATAATCTTTTAGGAAAATAATTTAATAAACGGTGAGATGTATCCGAGGACGTGGGAAATACGTGAGTGAATTGGATTACGTTTACCCGATGTACACCGACAACGTTAGCTCGAGTGACGGCATGTCCCGACGGATTTGTTTTCTTGGTTTTCGTATCATCATCAAACATACATGCTCGTAGACTGTCAGATACATACTAACCGATAAAGCTACAAAATACTGCTGAGAAATAATCGATTTTTTATTTCGAATTATTTTAACTTTTACTTTTAATTAAATATTGAAAAAAAATCATTTTTATTTTATTATTAAAGATCTTTAAATAATAAATTAATTTATTGAAAAAATTATTTTTCTTATAATTAATTTTTCTTATAATAATGGCCGCATTTTACGCCAGAATGAGCGACTTTTCATGGCCTGCTCGAGCTGCAGCGCGCTTTTACAGGCTACGAGATTTTCTGGCCGCTACCATAGCAATTGTTTTTGTTAATATAGCAATAGTCATTGTTTACAATAACACAACCACAAAAGTCATTATGACAGAACTGTTAAACGTTAAACTACGATTATTTTCGTGTGATAATAATATCCTAAAATTATAATAAATTAAATAGCAAAAATTTCATAATAAATTTATAATAAGTGCTTAATAAGTTTTAATATAAAGTTCAACACTATTTCAAACATTTATTAGTTAAAATAAATTAAAATAAAATTAACTCCAAAAAATAAATACAAAAAAATGGACTCTTCGTCTGAAGGCTCCACTGATGAAGAAGAAGTGCTGCGATTATTTGATAAAGAAGCTAAAGTTATTGTGCAGAGTGAAACGTTACCAAAGAAATCAGCTGATCGATACATGCAAAATTATAATGCCTACAAAAACTGGAAGGAAAAAAATAAAAATTCCCTCTCGACGTCAGAAGAAAACAATTTAATTGTTTATTTTAAAGATTTAAAAAAAAGGTTAAGTCCATTAACTCTATGGAGCGCGTGGAGTATGCTAAAAAAAACATTAAATACCAATGATGATATACAGATAAATAATTTCTTAAATTTAAAAAGTATGATTAAACAAAATGCTAAAGGACACAGACCGAAGAAATCTTTTATTTTAACATGGGAACAAATTAAAAAATTTATTGATGAAGCTCCTGACTCAGAATATTTAGCAGTGAAGGTAACAAAAGATTATTTCCGCACTTAATTATTACTATTTAATTACATTTTTCATATTTAATCATAATTTTTACAGGTTGTATTAATATTTGGAATATGTGGCTGCTTACGATGTTTAGAATTAACAAACATGAAAGTTGGAGACGGAGAAGATTTGAATGGGAGGTACTTAATATCTATCAATGACAATAAAAATGATTACCCTGGCCAATTTATTATTGGGAATCTCTTCTACGCTAAAGTTAAATAGTATATTACATACCTAGGCCAGTAAAATAAGAAAAGTCTCAGATCACATGTAATTGTTGGTATTGTTGGCCGAGGCGAAGCCGAGGTGGACAAACATGTGATCTGAGGCTTTCTTATTTACTGGCCAAGGTGTGTATACTATTTTTCTGCTCGACGTAGCCGAAATGTGGCAACTTTGTTTAGCGCAGCGGCCAGAAAGTTGCCACGTTCCGGCCGGAGGGCAGAAAACCTATATTTCCAAGAGACCATCTGGTAATTTCAATGACAGGTTTTTCATCCAATACACGAAAAACAGATGTACTTGAACTCCTATAGGACGTCATACTATAGGAGGAATGCCGAAAAAAATTGCGACTTATTTGGATCTGCCCAACATCAATAGATATACCGGCCACTGCTTTAGAAGATCATCTGCAACGCTTCTCTCGACCTCCAGCGCGAACATGCAGATGATCAAACAGCTAGGGAGATGGCGTTCAGATGTGATCGCCCAGGGCTACGTTGAAAATTCCTTACACAACAGGCAGATGATTTTCAATGGAATAATCCAGAATGAGACCGAGGTAATTCCTGAACCCCGACCATCAACCAGCACAGCATTGACCTGACATTTTATACCCTCAATCCGTAATTAATAATGCTCAAGACGCAACCATTGATTCCCAAGAAGAAACCATCAACGCTCATGAAGAAACTGTTAACCCCGAAAATTCAACGATTAATCCCAAAGAAGCGAATGTTAATACCGAACAAGAAACCCACGAGTTTGAATCAGCACTTATCGATTTAAATTGGTCAGATTTTGAGGATGATTTTACTGAAACGGACCCTAAACAAACTTCGAGTAAGTAAAAATGACAATACTTGTTTAACAAAATACGTTTATATCCCAATTTCAAATTTACGTTTTATTTTTCAGTTCCAACCGTCGTACCCACTGGTTTTACTACAGCGAATCAAAAGCCACTTTTTGTGCCACAGAAGACTCAAAACCAACTAATAATGAATAATAATAACAATAACAATAAAAATAATAAATATAAATTACCATTCACGGCCAAATCAGGGATTAAATTATCTTTTTTAAATCATCAGACAACGAGCAAACCTCCGCTAATCAAGAGAAAAAGACATACTGAGAATTTAAATAACCAAAATAATAACAATCTAGATTTCACAACGAAAGATCATGCCTTTAAATTTGAAAACTGTACGTTCAATAATTGCGTTTTTAATTTGACAAAATGTGATTGTGATAAAGAAAATATTTCTTAAAGTATTATTTTCCCAATTGGAATACTATATGATTTATTGAGTTTAACTATTCTATTTTTAAAATTAAATTATGTTGAAGTTACTGACAATTTATGTTACTAATTTTGGTTACTGAAATAAAGTGGTATTTAAAGTGTAAATTTCGTAAATTTCCTACTTTTAATTGTGTTATTGACCTTCGTTACAATCGTTTAATTTCAATTTTCATATATTTTTGATACGCGTCCCGACCAGCAAAACCTCGGCTTCGCCTCGGTTTTGCAAAATACACGTGCTGTGATGATCAGTTCTTGTGATAATATTGAGACGAATGGTCAGAAGATAATAGTAATCTTTATTATTATTATTATTGTTAAACGTAATTTCGGCGGGGGAGCAAGAAAAATAGTATACGACCTACGGCCAAAATGTTGGATGCTGTGGCCTCGGCCATCATATCACATACGCCAGGAAATCCAACTTTCTGGCCAAGGGACGTAATATACTATAAATTATTTTGAATAAAAAATTATAAAAATCAATTTATTAAAAAAATTATTAAAATAAAACTATGAGCGTTAATTTCAGAAAAAAAAATGATAAATAATTAATTTTTCAAAAATTAATTCATTAAAGAAATCATTGAAGTTAAAATATGAGTTTTATTTAAAATAAAAATTTTTAACAAATCAATTTATTAGAAAAAAATAATTAAAATTAAATTAAGAGCTTTAATAATTAAAAAAAATAAATTTACCTCTGACAAGTGTAAGAATTCCAAGAGGCATAACAAGAATAGCGACCATGAGATCGGTGATCGCGAGGCTCATCAGAAAGTAATTGGTAACATTCTGCAAGCGCTTCTCCCAGGTAATAGCCAAGCACACAAGGATATTCCCGGCGGCGGTCCCGACCACCAAAACGACCGCGAGCATCGCCCACCAATTGTTGAGCCCGCTGTCTTGCAAGTTAACCGTGAGGTCGTGCACACTCTCGTTGTAATCACTCCCGTTTAATATTATTCTGGTGAGGGTCTCACGCACTTTATCACCATCACTTGCACTCCCACTCCCGTTAACACTGACCTTATCGTCAAACAGAAGCACGACGTCCAGCGGATCAATACTCCCGTACTCCGGGTCCGATGATGACGACGAAGAAGAAATCGAAGTGAAAGTCGAAAAACTCCCGCTCGAAATTGACCTGGAAATTGACCTCAGGGAAGAGTAAGAAGTTACGAGGGTTGTTAGTTCCCTCGTTGAATCCGTTAGTCCCCGGAAGTGAATCGCCCCAGATTGTCGAGTCATCCTATCCTTGCAGAGGGATCCCAGACTCTCGACCCAGACCTCAGACACTTTTTTTCATCTGGAAAATTTTAAATTATTCATTCATTTTTATTTATCTCATTTTTTTATCATTAAATAAATTAATATAAATTTATTAATCCACTTTTTATTTTTTTTTTTTTTTTTTTTCATACTTTTGATAATTCACCTGCCTAATAAAATGATTATTTATTTAAGTAGCGCTTATTTTTGATACAAATAATTTTGATGAGAAGAGAAATTCCTCAAGTTTTTGTTTATTTTTTTGGGTCAGTGAATTTCCGGTGATATTAAATTTTAAATGCTCGGTAAATTTCTGGCCCGTAAAGAGTAAAGAGCGAACGGATAAATAAATATTAATAGAAATAGTGAAACATATAAAATACGAAAAATAAAATATAAAACGAGCGGTTACTTTTTTATTCTAGAGCATCTACATGTCAATCTTCCCTGGCGTATTTCTCCGCGAAAGGGCAGTCAATCAGCGGGGAACTTTTTGAGGCGACTATTAAATGAAATCTCTATCGTGTCTGCCGAAAAAAAAAAAGAAAATGTCGAACGAAATGAAATGAAATAAAAGTGAAAAACGATTTTTTGAGATTGAAAAATTCCTCGCTTTTTTATTCGCTTTTTACAGCGTTTGCCAAAATGGTCAGTTAGTTTGGAATATAGAATATTTATCTACGGGATGATGTGAGGGGAGAATCGGCTCGGCTCTGAGCTTCTAGAGTTTTATCTTTAAGGTAGTTGTAGCGTGAAAGCCATTTCAACAGAAAATTATGAAATTTTTTTTATTGAAAGATTAATATATAAATAATTCACTACCAAAATTTCAGATCAATTGACCGCACCGTTTTTGAGTAATTAATTTTCGAAATTGCATCTTTTACACGTAGGAGTATAGAGAGATGGTAAAGTTAGTATGAAATCTTCCGTACCACTCGAGTGGGCCAAAGATTTCATAATAACTTTACCATCTCTCTATACCTCTACGTGTAAAAGATGCAATTTCGAAAATTAATTACTCAAAAACGGTACGGTCAATTGATCAGAAATTTTGGTAGTGAATTATTTATATATTTATCTTTCGATAAAAAAAATTTCATAACTTTCTGTTGAAATGGCTTTCACGCTACAACTACCTTAATACATATAAATGAATATATACATATACTATATATGTGTACACGTAGAATATGTACTTGATAATGTATGCATGAAGCATGATGCATTATGACTAGCAAAACATCAAAAGCGTGTTTACAACTTTTAGTTTTTAGTTTTAGTTATGATTGAGGAGAAAGAGTAAATAGACTTGTTTATGTTTTTGTTTCACAATTTAAATTTTGTATTTAATTTATATGGATTTTTGGGTTTACTGATGAATAAATTTATTTTTATTCAGTTTATTCCACGCTTTTAATATTTTTTATGTTCTTGTTTGTTAATTATGCATTAAATTACTGGTACGGATTTACCCATCTGTTTTTCATGCTGCTCGGTGGAAAATAATGCGTCAAAATCATTCTATCACAATGGAGAGTGTTTTAATGAGTGCAAACACGAGAACTTTTTTTTTCTTTTTTACGAGAACAAAAATTTAAAAGCTTGAATTTAATTTTTGTAAGTGGTTATTTTTTGGCATAAAAAATTGAAAAATTAACTATTTTTTTTAATAACTCTATTTTTGCTGAGCTTGTAAACAAATTGAGACCATTGGAAAAAAATTTCGAATGGAATTTATCCAGGATTAGTCAAAATTCTAGTGTAAATACAAAATTTATTACTTTATTTTTTATTTTAATGTTGGCAATACGGGAAATGACGTACATAGATGACGCTTCAATAAGTGCATAATTTAAAAGATAGTTTTAATCATTTGCACGATTTAAATTTAATAATTGCAAAAATTTATTGAAATAAAAAACTTTTTTAATATTGATGAAAAATTTATGAAAATTTCCATAAAAATTGAATATTTATGATTCGATGCTTTGTATATTTCGAGTAAAATGCATAAGTAAGTTCATAAAATGTGATTTTTGAAGCGAATGGATTTCCCCTCGGGTAATAGAACACCAAAGTCGATATTTATATTTTTTCGTTTAGTTTCTGTTCATTGGATTTTTTTTTTGTAAGCCAATAAATTTTCTAGAATTCGATCCGATGAATGATTCGTGTCAAATTTCAGTACTGCAACAGTAATAAAATAGTTTACAACTGTGGAAAGTCGTGAAAAAGCCAGTTGTTCCGGCGCTATGTTCTCAAAAGTATTTTTTGAACGGACTGACTCAATTGTTTTCCAGCAAAAACACTGTAATAGTTGATAGAACTGCGGCAGCGGATTTAATTTTCGCCCTATCCATTTAACTCTCTGCTGTTAAAGGGGTGAAAAAAAACTACTACATCCACTGATTTAATTAGTTCCATCCAGATCAATATAATACGAAATTTATTATTCCTGAAGAATGGAAATGACGAACAGAAATTTATGCTCGATTCAGTTTTATATTCATTATTTTCAAACTGCTTTATGCAGAAGTTGAGTAGAGGAAGTTTATTTTAAATTCAAGTCATGAAATTGAAATGAAAGAATACTTGTCAATCGAAAATAATAATAACAAAATTTTTTTTAATATATTTTTCTAATAGAGGATGAAATTTTCTTTAAAATAACTACCCATAAGTCTATATTAAAAAATTACTAAAAATGTATCATCATATGTGAGATAAGTACAGATGTTGCATATGTGATATGTGACCCAAACTTCACATATGCTTAAGGGAGGGGTTAAAAATATTTGTGGGTGCTCATTTTTAGGAAATTTTCTGTAGAATTAGAAAAAATATACAGAATAATAATAATAATAATAATAATAATAATAATAATAATAATAATAACCAGCCATCCTTGCAGTCACTATGTGACTGCCGTGATTGGTGAACTGTAAATAAATGAAATTTTGCTTTATTAAATAATGACTTTTGTTAAATTGCACTGTACTGTCTTAAATATTAACGTTTTTAAAGATATAAGCTCATCCCGATGTTATATTCATCAAGAGCTTTCATTTGAGTACCCACATGTATTTTGATATATATATATATATATATATATGAAAAATTGATATGGGTACTCAAATGAAAGGTCTCGATGAGTATAATATTGGGGTGAGCTTATATCTTCAAAAATGTCAATATTTCTCAAGATACAAGCTCATTTCTTAATTATGTATCTAGAGATTGAGGATTTTCGAATGCGGCCCAAATACTTCTCATCATAAATTGACTATCGGTGAGAACGATATGAAAACTTGAAAAGGCACAAATTCAAATCTAGACCTTTGCAATAACACTAAATTTCATTTTAAAAAACCGATTTTATCATATGACCATGCTGGACATAAAATTTTTCTTATTTTCTTAATAATATAAACAATAAATTTTGTTTTGAAATGTTTTTTATTATTATTTAAAAAAAATTATTTTTATATAATAATAATAATAATAATAATAATAATTTGTCGTTGGTTAAAATTTTTTTTTTGTGTCGACTATTTTTTCATGATCATGTGCTGCTCTCAAGGATTCAATTCTAGGGATTTAATTTAATCGGCCCTGGAGTACTTTATAAGCGATCAGATACAGACAATCTCTAGTATAGTAGAAAACCTTTTTTTTCGCAATGAGTTGTAT